AATATGGGTGTTACATTAGCATGCTTCCAATCTGATGGTACCACACCCGCAGATAACGATTTCTGAAATATTAAAGTTAAAGGTCGGCCAATAATATCCCTCATCTCTTTTAACCGTCATGAATCTCTTCAGTGCAAAGCTGAAACCAAATATTCATTCCTGATACATGGAATCACTACACTATTACACTATTACATCAAGTCATCAAGCTGTTTGCCTTTGTCCTTTGGCGTGCTGGTGAAGTGGCTGGTTTTCCATGGGCAGCAAAACCATAGGTTTCCATCAGTGTAACGTGAAATGTTCAGTTAGTTATCTGTCACCGTTGCTTTATTTTGCCATATTTGATATAGGAGAAAATGTCTGGAAGGGTGTGAATATTAAATGAGTCAGCATGCTAATTACTCCTTTTGGTCACAGCAGATGGGCTGAAATGCTATTCGTGCATGGCCACGGATAACAATGTCTGTAACAAGAACCCGGTCACCTGCCAGGCGCATCACGACACCTGCATGAGCACCATGGAGGGGACCGGTGAGAATCTCGCCGAAATCACACCAGTCACCATCAGGCCTGCTGGGCTGGATGTAAATGGTTTGGGGTTCTCTGTGCCCTCCAGGAAATCCCAAGAACATACTCAAGCTTTGCACCACCTCTGCTGTCTGTGCAACAGCAGCCTCCGCAGCCTCCGCAGCCTCCATGATCCAGGCAGTAACCAACCTTGAGCCGCCCATAGTCACCTGCTGCAAGACTGATCTGTGTAACTTCAGCGGAGCCACGACTGCCCGTCTGCACACGCTGCTTCTGGTCCTGCCGCTGTGTGTCATCTCTGCCCTCTGCTATGTCAGCGCTTGACATATCCATTCCCCTTATGGTGATACACTGTGTCAGTCAGCTTACGGTTCCATCCCATCCTCAATAAAAATGTGTACTTTCCTGCTGCGTCACAAGTGAAAATGGCTCCCCTTCTGGCTCCTCTGTAATTGATACATGATGCTGACATAAATTGGTTTTAAAATATGTCGAGGATAATGATGATTACAAAATCAAAGACGGCATTACTGAAATTTGTCAAGGACACTACTGAATATCGTCCCTTGTCTGTAATTACAGTTTTTCTCGATTGCTTTGGAGCATTTCTTAAACGACAATTAACATTTGCAAAACGAGTGTAATGCCCACACCAAAATGTCACTTGTGCCCAGCAGAACATCATTTCTCACTGCTTCACACAAATTCCCAAATGGTTTCCATGTATGGCGTTAAGAACTTCAATGTGAGACTTTAAGAGTGTTTAATTAACAATGGAGCTCGGAAAGGCAGATGGAAGATTTTTGGACAGTGAGGGTTTGGCTGGTCCTCACATTGTGTGGAGCAGTTAGTGCGGAAACCACAGTGTAGGGGGGGTTAGGGTTAGGGTTAGGGTTAGGGTTTCACCCTTCAGGTGTCAGGGTTCTTGGTTGAGCGTTTGTTCAGGGTGTTTGTTGTTTATCACACCCAAAGTTATTCTGTACCCAGGCATTGTGTCTCTATTTGATGTGGATACATGGTTCATTCCTTATGTCAGTAGGAATAAAACTTAAGTGGACATCTTGGAACTGCAGAAGCATTGAAGTCTTCTGGGAGGAGGTACAGAAGGCAATGGGGAGCAGTGACGGACCTTAGTCTGCTAAATGCAAAAAGAACAATCGCAATGTCATGGAAAAATACAAATGGACCTAAGATTTCCCAATGGACCGAGTGTGGTAGAAATTTTGCTGAAGTCGATTTAAGAGTCACAAAACTTTATTACCGCAAAGCTTTGGGGAGCGGGCACTCAGCAGTGTTTCATGCGTCTCGTGGTCTGCCCCCGAACAACATGTGCATACATCTTTTATAGCAAAAAGTGCGACAGTTTATAAACAGTTTAAGGAGGGGTCAGATATTTGTGGTCACCAACCACTTCTGCTTATAGGGGTCCATTATTGGTTCAACCTATTTTCAATTATCCTTGTGGTTTGACTATCCTATTTAAACAAGTTGTTTTCAGTTACTCTCTTCATCTTACCTCCCATATATTCCCTTGTGCTATTGTCCACTTATCCTTGACCTATGACATCAGTACAGATATTTCTAATATTGGTTTCTGCAGCAGCTTAACTTCTCTGATCAGGTCTGCACCTTTATCCGGTCCTTTTGCAGAATAAACCATCACATGTTAGTTCCTTATAAAATGCTTGTTATTCGGAAGTGAAAACTTGTTACTGAAGCAAGTTTGCATTATTGCATTACATGTTTAGTATAGATTACATATACATCCTAAGATGCTTCTTGCCTTCATCCACCTTGAGTGAATGTAGCCTTGGCTGGGAGGGGTTGATGTCATCAGGTGGTACCCATCGTTCATTGGGTGTTTCGACCCTTATCCACAACACCCTCCGGATGGTGGGTCGAGAGTGGTGGCCAAGTCACTGCCCATCATCCCCTCCTGGCTTCCAGCTTACCTCCCCTCTCCTGCTCCATAACCAGCAAGAGGCCCTTTCTGCCGCCTCCCCCATTCTGCGAGCTGCTGCCCTTCTGTTCTTCCCTGTCATCCCCATGGCTGTGAGCATTCTCCATACTGACTGCGCAGGGAATCCTCTACAGCCGACCTCAACAGGGAACAGCCATGCCTGCCATCCCTTTCCCCTGCAGTCCTGCAGAAGGTCTTGCTATTTGGTGCTCTTCCATTCAAAGGCCTGTTCATATCCCTCTTCCCATGGGACCTTAAGTTCTATGAGGATGATCTTTTTTGCCCCTCTAGACCACAGTACCACCGCCTCAGGGTTGTCTGGACAATCTGGCGGAACTGCAGCCTTCCTTCCTGTCATGAGCACCTTGTCGTGGTGCCACCTGTACCTTCCTTGGGTGAGTGCTGTTTTACACCCGGACAGGATGTGCGCCATGGTGCCTCTCTCCCCACACAGCTTGCACAATGGGTCCTCTCTCATGCCCCACTTGTGCAAGTTTGTTGGGATTGGGAGTGTGTCGTACACCGACCTCAGCAGGAGGGAGATTTTTTTTTTCATTTGGTTTGACTATTAATGTTTTGTAAAAGTATGAAAACAATAAAAATATTGTTATAAAAAACAATATGGTGGAGGTTCTGTGATGTTGTGGGGCTGTTTTTCCTCCAAAGGCCCTGGAAACCTCATTAGGGTACATGGCACTACGCACTGCAAGAAATATCAGGACATTTTAAATCAAAATTTGGCTGCTTCTGCCAGGAAACAATAACTGGGCCGTTACTGGATCTTCCAGCCGGACAGTGATCCTAAGCACATGTCCAAATCAACACAGAAATGGTTAGCTGACTGCCACATCACTGACTATGAAGGCACAAACATGCCTCTACTTCCTCCACAAACTGAGGGGGCAAGAGGTCCACCCCCCATCATGCTCTCTTTTTACAGAGGCACTGTTGAGAGCATCATCACTGGCTGTATCGCTGTGCGGTTCGGAGGCTGCTGTGCTTCCTGCCATAAGGCTCTGCAACGGGTGGTGAATACAGCCAGCAAGATCATCGGCACCTCCCTGCCCCCCCTCACGGACACCCTCCATACCCTCCTCACCCGCATGGCCATCAGCATTGCTGGTGACTCCTCCCACCCCTTACACTCCCACTTCAGCCTCCTGCCTTCAGGGAGAAGGTACCGGACCCTCTGGGCTCCACAAGACTCTTAAACAGCTTTATCCACCAGGCTGTCAGGAGGCTGAAGTCTGTCCATTACCTCCCCACTCTGCCTCCTGCCCCTGGACAGTAATTTATTCACTGACTACCTCAAGTATTGTTTACACTCATACCTTTCTGCTATATTTGACTTGCATGATTGCTACCATTTGCACTGTATTGTTCACCTTTGGCATCACTACTTTATCTATGTTTACCATTTACATAACTACCTTAATATTATTAACATTTGCACAATCGCCTCTTCTACTCTTTCTTTTGCCTCTTAAACTGCTATAATTTGCACAACTCACCATATATTTATTGTTACCAATTGCACTTTGTACCATCTGCACTTGTCGATTTGTCTCTGGCCTTGTCAGTTTGTCCTATGTCTTGTTATCTGTCTTTTTGTATAGAATGTCTATAATTTTTTTAATTGGACGGTACACACACCAGTGAGCGAGAAACGGCATTTCGGTTCTCCTGTATGTCTTGCACATATAATGTGAATTGACAATTGACTTTGACTTGACTTTGAGAATCAAGCTTCTGCCATGGCCACCTCAGTCCCCTGACCTGAACTCCACTGGTAACCTGTGGGCTGAGCTGAAGAGGAGAGTGCAGGAGAGGACCTAGGACCCTGGGTGATCTGGAGAGATTCTGTAAAAAGGAACGTTCTCTGACGCCTTGCTCTGTATTCTCCAACTTTATAAAATGTCATAGGAGAAGATTCAGTGCTGTTATACTGGCAAAGGGAGGTTGTACAAAGTATTAAAAGCAGGGGTGCCGATAATCATGGCACATGTGTTTTTGTTAAAAATAATTATTTCTTGAAAAAGGATTCGTTTTTCTTTCGATACATTTATTTTAATGAAAGGTTGGCTTTTTCTAATTTTTTCAGTGTGACATGAAACTACTTCACTAAAAGGTGGATTTTTACTAACCCTTTTTACAAATCTTCAGAAAGGGTACCAATAATTGTGGAGGGTGCTGTATATGAAAATGGTTTCATATAAGAAACATTCTCAAGACTGTAAGAGCACACAATTCATGCATACAGCAAAAAACTATGGTTTAGCTGCAAAATCCTGTAAGTTACCCAAAACAATGAACTCATTTTGAGAAATGCTCTTATAGTCTTAAGAACATTATGTATGTTTCATGAAATCTTCCAAAGCAATCAAGAAAAACTAATACATACTTCCCCAAGTTTACCTTAATAATCGATAACAGGAACAATATATCAGCCTTGGTGCAAGAAACTGTGCAGCTCTTGCTTGCTCTGCACTACCCATGTGGTTGTGTCTCACCACATTTTTTTCGACAGCTGATGGTGATGGTTGTTGTGGTGGCAGCAGAACGTTTCACAAACATATCCATATAAAGTGCTTTTGCACTCAAACCCTACCCAATGAAATTCTAAATAAAATAATGCACGTCTAATAGAAAAACGCATTGCAAAGCAAAAAAAGCATATTATTCAAGTTTATAACGAACCTGCAAACACACTGCAAATTCATAGACGCTACACAAATTAAGAAAATACTTTAATCAAAATGACAATGCATGTGAAGCACATTTTACACACGCGCTGCACATTCATAGACGCGCCACAAATACAAAAAACAATTGCAACTTCGGAAATGCGCTGCAAATAGCCACAACACAACGGAAGGGGCAGTGTGTGGCTCAGTGGGCTAAGCCTGTGTGCCTGTAATCACAAGGTCGCAGGTTTAAAACCAGCCTCAGCATGTCTGTGGGTCCTTGAGCAAGACCCTTAACCCCCAGCTCCCTGGGTGCCCCAACAGGTGGCTGCCCTTTGCAGACAACTTACTCTACAAAGAGCAAGTTGAGGGAGGCATAAAAACAATTTCCCCACAGGGATCAATAAAGTATCTATTATTATTAAGTGTTTTTGGAGGACACTTTGTCCAGGTGGCCACATGCTTGTAATGATGTTTTCAACGTAAACATTAAAACTTTGCTATTAATCTGGCAAACTGCATGGTTTTAAGTTACAGTAAACAATCAGTAGCAGCTGTTTTTATGATTAACCTGTGTAGCTCAATTATAGGCTATAGTAGAGCAGTAATCCTACCATTTACTACACAGCTTCTGGATTATTGTTGTAGCAATCTGTTGAAATAGAAGATACAGTGATCATGTCTGTCTGTGTGAAATTGGCTATAAGCAAATGATCATTATACCCCTTTTTTCTTCCTTATGTCTCAGGCAGATTACCATGTAACTGACAGGTATATTTGAAAATAAGTTAATAAAATGGACAGCATCACTATTTACTTAACTTTGATTTTAAAATACAGTACAACCGTGTCAAACGCTTTTGAAATTACAGTACCGTACAAATGAAATTACTCAATTGTGTATAATTCAAATACGTTATAATACAGTACAGTACTGTAGGCCTACATGAAAAATAGCTTAGTTTAGTGAACGGCTTCTGGTGTGGTCACTCCCTACATGCGAATAAGGAACACCTGTGACTGGGATTGGGTGGGCAGTTATAAGGAGGATGCCTACTTGGGGATGGGGGAGGAAGAAATTGCCGGTGGAAATGGAAAAAAAGATATTGTCGGAGAAACTTTGGGATGGGACGGCTGTCACCATTTTGGGGAACGTAAACGTGGTGTGTCCGTTGCTGGTGTTTAATTCGGCCGCGGACGAAGATAGTTAGTTACGGAGTGGGTGGATGTATGCATTTTATCCGCAGATTAGATAGACAGACAGACAGACAGACAGAGATACTTTATTTATCGAGAAGGAAATTTAGGTGTCCAGTAGCTTATACACAGTATACATACACATAGTCGCACAGACCTATGACATTCACACACACATACATACTGCAACAGTACAAAGGAAAATTACAGGAGGGCAGTGTGCTATACAGGCCTAAACACTTAAGTCCATCACACTCCTCCCCTTCCATGTGACGTTGAAGAGCTGTATGGCCCTAGGGACAAAGGACCTTCTGAGCCTGTCTGTTCTGCATGACAGAGACAGGAGCCTATCACTGAACATGCTCCTCTGTTTGGAGAAAGTGGTGTGCAGAGGGTGACGGTCATTGTCCAGTATTGAGAGCAGTCTGCTCAGGGTCCTCCTATCTGCAGCTGATGTCAGTGACTCCAGCTCCATGCCCACCACAGAGATAGCTTTTCTCACCAACCTGTCCAGCCGTCCAGCGTCCCTTTTCCTAGTGCTGCCTCCCCAACATACCAAAGCATGTGTATAATACTGTAGTGGTGTGATTTGAGGAAAGTCTCCAGGAAAAAACTGATGCATCGGTACACGTTTGTCTTTACTGTAACCCACTACTGTAGGATTTAGCATTTACCTCCCAGATGAGGGAGAGGAGGAATTTATCAGTATTTGTGATTGTGTGGGACAATGTGGCCTTTCATCATTCCCGCCACGTCACAGGATGATGTCATTATTCTTGCCACCATACTCTCCATTCCTTAACCCCATTGAAGAATTTTTTTCTGCATGCGGATGGAAGGTATATGACCATCGGCCACATGATGAGATGCCGCTTTTAGATGCAATGGCTGCTAGGTGTATGGACATCCATGTGGATGACACCCAGAGCTGGATAAGGCACTCAAAGAGATTTTTTCCTTGGTGTATTGCAAGAGAAAATATTCGGTGTGATGTTGATGAAAATTTATGGCCAAATGCAAAGGACCGAATGGATTAGGCCAGGACAACTGTATACTTGACTGCATACAGTGAAACTTTGCTATTTGACGATTTTTGTTTTTTTTTTCTATTGAATGTCAGTAGGTGGTTGTAATGTATTTTTCTTTTCCAGTGTATTGCGCAGCTGAATTTATTTACTGTATTATTTGTTTGTATTGCAATGTTTACTGTAAGAAATGTCATAACTTTTTCTTTTACTTTCCAATAAACATTGTGTGAAAATATAGGATACAACAACACATCATATATATGCATTTTGCAGCGCTTCAAGTTGTTTGTGTTTTTTCATGCATTGTACTTTGTGTGACAAAGTCGTCTTGTGAGTGAGTGCGTGTGCTATAGGTCTGGCAGCATGTGTCACTTTTGGGTGAAGTGTGAAATGTTTTGGTGGTTTTATTTCATTTTGCACCGAAAGTTAACCAATATGCTCAGGCACTAACCCCTCTTTGTGCCTAGGCCAACAAGGACCTGCTGTACCAGGCTTGACCTTATCTCAGGGGTTCCAAACCCCCAGGCCACAAACCCTGGAGTCTTAGCTCTGGCGTATGTGTGTGCGATCCTACACTAATGATGTTTCTGTTGAAACCTAATGGAAGACAGAAATGGATGTGGCTTCCTTACTGAGGTTTAATGCTTCTATGCTTGATTATTAAAACACAATAAAAAGGGAGGAGATGTAGTGGAAAATCACAAAGAA